ACATGTCACTTTTGAAGACACTCATTTTATATTTTTTTGAAAACATAAATAAATTCTAAAAAGTCGTATTTTGCATTTTTCTAAGAGTAGTTTCAAATAGATAACATTCAAATTGACATGGAGTTTTTAACAAACGTAAATAATACTCATACTGCTACATTTGCAGTAGTCTAAAATATTTAAATTCACAGTTACTAGATCCACGAATCAAAAAAATTATTCAACAAAAAGAATTACTTTTGCAAATTAATCACATAAAGATTATACATATATCTAAAATTTACAACAGATTTAATTTACATTTGCTAATATCGGTTGCACGATCGAAACTGTAATAAATAAATTACATCGTGTGTTCATGCGTTGTTCAGCATTGTTGAGAATAATGGAATTGCTTTTCCAGCGTACGACACCAGCATTGCCCTGAAAATGTTATTTTTAGAATTTGAATAATCCGAAAATACAAAAGGAAAATCCTGTGCATATAGCCAAAACTCACAACAGGAACATAAACTGAAAACAGTAAACACGTACACACAGTCCTAAATACACTGACTTGCCCTACTTTGACCAAGCTGAACAAAATTTCCCATTCAAACGCAAGGTCACTGGTTTCCCTCTGGAAGTAATATTAAAAATAACAGCTCAAAAGGAATAGGCAGTGAATTGAACACAACATTTATTTTACAATGAACTTCTAAGTTGATATTCGGGGTTACATCACGACTTCGATACTACAAAAGTTCTGAATTTAAAACGCATAGCGTTCCACGTAGTGACAACGATGTTTGTATTTTCTAGGTCAGAAATGTTACGAATTGAGAACAAACTGTAAACATGTGCAAAAGACTCTATGTATACATACAGTGTCACATGAAGGTATTCGAACATCCTTTAAAACAGAATAAGTTTTTCAAAATTGATTCAAATGACCCGATTTTTTCAAGATGTTAAAGGGGCTAGTTCACTAGACAGTGTCTAAATAATTTTTTTTAAAATTGTAATAAATAGGATTGACAAAAAATGGAAAACTCGCGCTTTTAACTTTTTTATGTAAATCTAGATAGTCAAAATATTATTTTTTTATTAATGTTTCCACTCCGTAGAAAAATCTATATGTAACAAGTTTAAAAAATTAATTTTTTTTACTTTATATTTACTTATATATTATTATCGGCGTCTATGTATGTGATTTTTCTGAAATTTCACCACAATGTTTCTTATAAAAATCATAGCAATTTTCATACTTATCATTCTTCCAGTACTACTCACCCTCTGCGCTTGTATATACAAAAAAAATGTAACAAATATTTTTGATTAAATTATAAGTATGCAAGATTCCATAAAAATCAGTGATTTATGTTTGGTCAATGTTCCTTTTTAATATTGTGAGCACCATTGAAGTTGAAAATTATTATTATGAGTAGACTGCGCGATGAGTAGACTATGCAAAATAAAAATTGTACAAAACGATTACAGTAAATAGAAATTAAATAAAAATGAGTTAATTTATTTAATAATTTTGATAAATTCTGTCTTCACAATTTTATATTACGATTATTCTTTTTTTGTCATAAATGCATAAAATCCGCAGTCTAATTATGAGCTATGACATTGTTAATTGTATGAATTTTAAATTGTTTTAAAGAAATACAGCTTGCAAGTTAGTATAGTACAAAATGATTAATTTGAAAAATCAATATCATTGGTCAAATATATATATATATATATTTTCAATTTAAAATGATCTGTTACAATATCGTCTCGATTACTCGAAACAGTGATTAATAAATAAAATGCTAAAAATCCTTACAGTTTTATTTTTTTCCATCGACTTTCAAGACAATTTCCAACCACGACCGATAAAACGGATCAGATGTTTTTCAGAGATTTGCTTCTTCGCTGCCCGTTAAAATTCAGAGAAACTTTAGAATTGTTTGTCTACTAGAAGTTGATCACGGAAGCATGATTCGACCGATTTTCGCAATTCCGCGCCGTGTTACGGGTACGTCGATAACTGAAAGTTTCATCCGAATCGGGGTCTGACGTTTTCCGAACCTTCCTTTTTAGCAAGACAAAAGA